TAAACATATCAAAGTCAAAAAATACATAAGAGATAAACAAGACTATGCTAACTGACAGGTCAGAACATACCATCTAAATAAAAGATATACTTCAGAAATCACATCAAAGAACACAAGAACAGAGCCATACCAAAGAGAAAACACATTCACTGCACGACAGGAATCCTCATATGTCACCAAGAACCACTTCCCAACTACACACAAACCCTTTCACCACTCCCCCACCAAGTCTAGGCCCCATTACAGAAACTACAACCCCAACTATGCACTCTCATCTTCTTATCACCGACCCCCCATGCATCAATACCACCAACCACCATCATATAAACCACGTAGAACCTCCTACAGAACATCTAAACACTATGATTTTCCAATCCAATTATTACAATGCATGTAGCCCTGATATTAGCAAACATTCACCTAAACCTCAAAGGCCCAGTAATTACTACAAAAATCACTCCGAGACACCTATCTCGCACACCAATAGGTATCAATTACTATCCAGTGATTCTGAAATAGAAAACGAAGAGATTTTTAGAGATTCAGACCCACCCAAACACATTCACCAACACGCCTTACCCAACAAGGGCAAAGAAAAGAACTTTAAGCCCAGAGGCAAACGGAGTGGTAGAAGACAGCAAAAAAGAGAGAATAGAAAGACAATAACTGCCCCAAATGAGTCTGAATGTGGTATTTTTAACCTGTCACAAAAAGTTTTAAGTGCAGCACACATATCAGTTTTAAGTAAAGGATTAAAATATGCCCCAACAAACTCTTTTAGACCATTTGAAGCATTTTTAGACGTTATAAATATTGAAAAGTGGCCAAAACATCAATGTCCTAGTGTCTATAGGAACAGAATAGGGGGTAACCCTCAATAATTGCAGAACAAAGGAGAAAAGAAAAGAGACTGTTCCTAATGCCGATATCGGATACACACAAACGGTTAAAAATCTAGAAGATACTTTATTTATAAATAGAAAACAAAAATCTGAAAAGACTCCAGCAATGGCTGCCTGACTAAACAAAAGTCAATTACGGATGCCAAGACAAAGAGCATACAAAGAAAATAAAAAAGATAAGTAAAAAGAAAAGTGAAAATAGATCCATAAGATAATAGAAAGAGTTTTTACAAATGGATAAATAATCGTATCTATAAGTCAGGGAATAGATACAATGCGTGGGAGCCCCCTAAGTAAAGCTGACCGTTCATTCAGTGTAATGATTCTTGCATGTCAGAGATAAAATGTAATACAAAATGTCAGTACAATACAACTGCAGCGGAATCTGTTGCAAGCAGTATGAACTGAAACTAAGTGTATTAATCTCTGTGTGTCCTCAATGAGATACAATACAGGGAAACCTACTGAAAGGAGTTAAATACTCCCGTTTAGTATAATAGTATCTATGTATTAAAGGAAAAGGAATCACTATACAGAGTCAATACCGTTAAGGTACAGGACATTCTCCCACTATAAACTCTCTCTAATAATAAAGATAGTGAATGCAGTAATAGTAGTTCCAAAAGTTCTAATATAAGAACAAAATCGAATCTAATTAAATATAAATCACATCAGCATATCAAATAGATGTTCCGAAAATAATAAGTAGATAAAGTTAATCAAAAAGGTGAAAAGGCAACAATATCTGGAATATGCCTAGTAACCTTAATGAAATGACTAATTATCCATGATGAATAATACACCAAATGAAAGTAAATTGGAATGGTGCCTTCGAGGGCGCCAGGTATAGGATAGATGGTAAAGAAACAAGAGTGCTGATGCTGGTAAGTAGCCAATTAGACAATAGAAAAATACTGCAAGTAAAAAAGCATTAATAGACACTGATATCCTGATCGATCTAATCTATATACACGGCTAGTATCCCAAACTATCATAGCCCCTTGGAGTCCCAGATAATAAATATCCAAAGATATATGTCCGTATTCATGGGAAGGAAGAGGGTTGCTGGGGACACAAAAAATATATACAGCCTGATAGTCACAAGAATGTGTAATCTACGCGCCCCGACGCGCGTTTCGCCTAACTTACAGGCTCATCAGGGGGAACTGAATGCCCGATATGCAGGGGTTTAAAAGGCCCGCCCTCAGTTCTGATTGGTCCTATTGCGGCTCAAAGGATAGAAGCAAGTACGGTGGCCGAAATGGATCAAACTAATAATACCAGTCTGTTCAATAAGTTTGACATGTGGTTGCCAACAATCACGATATGTTTAAAGATATACATATGAAAATAAATAAATAATTAATGAAATCCACACTTAGTGTAATACTTAGATGTAAGAAAGAAGAAATAAGGGGAAAACAAAACAAAAAATCCCTAACATTATTTCAAAAATCCAAGTAACCACATGGTAACAGAATCCTGCGACCATATTAGCAAAAGAAGTGACCTAGTTAAAGGGATAGGCTAAATAAATCAAGACAGACATCAATGGAAATATCCCAGTGATATCAAAACTATAATGTCACAGTGATATATTGTAGTGTCATAACTCCTATCATATCAAAACTGACAGGACAGTATACACTAATAAAAAAAAATATATATGAGAGAATTATGTAATTTGTCTTACAATAGTGCCAGTTTAGAAGGGGATAGTCATATATAATAATGGTGATAATAAACTTATGATGCATGATTATGCCATAGGTCTATATTAGTAGATCCTCAAAAAGTTATAAACCGATCATAATTCACATGATTAGTGTATAAATGGTGTATAGTTAAACTCTTCGTTAAGACCTAAAGGGGCTAAGGTCTTAAACGAGAAAATCCATTGTGATTCTTTTCTGAGCAAGACCTTATTAAAGTCTCCTTTCCTCGGATTTGGTAGCAATTTCTCAATTACCTGGAATCTCAAGTTATTAGGATTTCCATCATGGAAATTGAGAATGTGTCTTGCAACCGGAGTGGGGGTGACAGTACATGTTGCAAAATCCTACGTCTAAACTGCTGAAAAGGTTTTCCAATGTATTGGGTTCCACAGCTACAGGTGATCAGATAGATCACTCGTGTAGAACTACTGTTAACCAAAGCGTTGGTCTCAATCCGGATCTGTGTCTGAGTGGACGTGGTAAATTTAGAGGGCAGAATATATTGGCAGGCCTTACAGTGTCCACACCTGTAGGTTCCCTTAGTATTGGATAACCAGTTAGTTGATGGTGAAGGAGACGCCAGATGACTCTGGACAAGTTGATCTTGTAATTTCGTTGGTCTCCGTGCAGTTAAAGATGGAAACTCTGGTGACACTTGTTGAAGTTGAGGATTATGTAAGAGTATTGGCCAATTCCTCTTGAGAATTTGTGACATGGGCCCCCAGCCCTGATCAAATGTCGCAATACAACGTGGGGTCTTAAACTCTTGTTTGGGTTTGGAAGAATGGAGAATAGTATTTCTATCGATGCTACATACCTGATGGAAAGCACGTTTTAAAACACGATTAGGGTAACCTAGTTCCCTAAATCTAGATTTCAATGCTTTACACTCATTATAAAAAGTTTGGTCTATGGAGCAATTGCGTCTAGCCCTCAAATACTGGCTAAAGGGGATGGATGCTTTTAGTCTATAGGGATGATGACTCTTCCAATGTAATAGACTGTTAGTTGATGTTGCTTTTCTGAACAGTTCGGTTTGAATGGTTCCATCTTGTTCCAGTACCAATTCATTTTTAGACATTAACAAATTTGTACGGAAAGCCACACTAAAAAGATTTTTTAATGGAAAAAATTCAGTGACCAATCTCTCTCCCCCTCATTCCCCAACCCCTACAGATGAACCAATATATATCAACACCAATCTTAAACCCAAATCCACATTTTATCCTTACCATTTTAAATCAGCTCCGCTCATCATGTTTGAGAAGTCAGTACTAAGGGATTTTAACAAAATTAGGTATAATAAATACGATACTCAAAATCTTAACATATCAGAAAAACTAGCTGTAAAACAACTTCAAGAAGATAAAGACATTGTTATCAAACCAGCAGACAAAGGGGGAGGTCTAGTCATCCAATCAAGCACTATGTATATTGAAGAAGCATATAAACAACTAAATGACATTGCAATATAAGAAAAATTATCAATAGACCCAACATCCTTGATACAAGAAAAATTAATCACCTTTTTAAAAAAGGGACTAGACGAAAATATTTTAAACAAACATGAACATGATTATCTACTCATTAAAAATCCCAAAATTCCGGTAATTTATTTCCTTCCGAAAATACATAAAGACGCTGAACACCCCCCCGGTAGACCCATAGTGCCAGGGATTAATTCCCCTCTATGCAATTTATCCGAATACATTGACACTTTACTTCAACCATCGGTGAAGCTTATGAAGTTATATTTGAAGGACTCCATGACACTATTAAGGTTTTAAAATGGATTTTATTGGGAACCAGATTTTATACTAGTTACATGTGATGTCACCTCTTTATATACCATAATCCCCCACCAGTGTGGCTGTCAAGCTGTTAAAACCATCCTGTCAAAAGAAAAGAGAATTCCTGATATTCAGATTGATTTTATCGTGGAGGGTATTAATATCATTTTAAATAACAATTATTTCTGGTTCTTTGATTCCTTCTACCTCCAAAAGAGAGGGACAGCTATGGGGACCAGGTTTGCCCCCAGCTATGCCAACCTCTTCATGGCAGACTGGGAATCCAGTGCCACCTGGGGAGGGCATGCCTGGGAGCATAGCCTGGTCTCCTATTTTAGATATATTGACAACTTGTTTTTTATATGGAAGGGCTCTGAGGATTCCCTCAACTCTTTTATAACACACCTCAACTCTAATAACAGAGGCATCATTTTATCTTCTGAATATAGTAAAGACACAATCAACTTTTTAGATTTAAATATTTTTATTAAAGATGGAACAGTTCATACAAAAACATTTTTTAAAAAAAGTATGCACCATTACAGCAATAGACCAGACTAGCTGCCATTATAAGCCCTGGCTTGAGAGCGCCCCTAAGAGCAAATTCTTACGCATACGCAGAAACTGTTCTCACGCTGACGATTTTAACAAACAATCACTGATTTAAAAAAAAACAGTTCACAGAAAAAAATTATTCACTAACACAATTGAATAATACTATAGAGACAGTGAGAAATAAACCAAGAGAAAATCTTTTAACCTACAAAGACAAGCATACCTCAGATGCTCCTACCCTTTCTATAATTTTTAACTATCACAACAAAAGTGGCTTTATTAAAAAAACAATAAACACTGGCACCTTTTAAGACAAGATGACCTTCTTAAAGAAATCTTACCAACAAAACCAAAAATTGTTTTTAGAGGTGCACCTAATTTTAGATCCATCCAAACCAAGGTGCCTAAAGACAAGACTAGGAGAACACTGCAGGAATATTAAAAACGGATACCAAAACCATTCCGTATCTAAGCACTTTATCAAACATAACCAAGCCCCAAAACTCCTTAAATGTATTGGAATCAAAAAATGTAAGGTCCCTTGGAGAGGTAGAAACATAAAAAATATTTTAGGCAGATCTGAAATGGAGTGGGTCTTTAACCTGCAGACCCTAGCTCCCCAAGGTCTAAATGCAGATTTCGATCTGTATAATTTCTTATAAACAATTGTCACAAATGTTTTTATATGTGTTCACAAGCCTAATTTAAAAAGTTATTTTAAGTTCATATATCTAAACAAGTCCTTCTAATGCCTTAATTCCCTCCTAATTGTTATATGCTTTTGGTCACATAATTTTAACCGTTTATAATATGTCCTATGTATTTATCATATGCCTTGGTATCAATTGTATAAACTGTTTTTGCTGTCATCTTGGGGCTATCCTATTCATAGTTGTCACCTACGGCATTATAGTCTAGGATACCCCCAATATGACCTCATTTTGTCAATCTTTGTATATACACCATTATAATGCTTTTAATTTAAAACTAATTTTTATTTAAATCCTTATCTCCTAATAATCTATCTACAAGTATATACTTTAGAGGTATGGGTTAATTTCCTACCACATACTTTGATTTCTCTAAAGGCTGATACTTTCCCTTTAAATATTGTCCCTGACTTTACTTTTGACTAACTTCTTTATTTTTATATTTTTATTTTATCTGTATTTTTTTATATATCATGCATGACCATAGTTAATATGGCCCCTACCATCTCTTTGCCCACAGTTCTTAGCATCCTCCCTCTAGCTATTATATATGCTGATTTTTTAACATAGAGCCCTGCTCCTTTATATGTATATACAGCTTACATGCTGATGTATTCAGCACTATTTGTTACATGAGACTAAGTGCCTATCATAGGCACAAAGTCCACCCCTCATTACGTGCGTACCGCCCACCAGAATGGCGGCCACACTTGCCTACTACATATCCCAAGTGTCAAAGTGCTGCGAACCACATGACCACTTCCGGTCCCCATAATGCCGCGAGCTATATCGCTCGCTTCACACTGCCACTAATGAAAGCGCCGGTCACGTGACTCGCGCACTACATTTCCCAACATGCTATGCATGTCTCACGCGAGTCACGTGACGCGCTTAAATCAAATATTTCTAAGTCTACAGACCTCGTTTTTTAACAATTTTAATGACAAAAGACCTTGTATAATGTTACTTTTAATGTAAACCTTTTTATTTTCACTTATAACATATGTGATATATAACTCTGATTCTGTTGGCCATTGACTAATGACGTTTTTTTGGCGCCAATTTTTAACTGATTATGTACTTATATATACTCTTATCTGCCAGGTTTTTAATGTTATCCCATTTTGAAAAAGCCCAAATGGCGAAACGCGTAAATGGTTTTATAAATTGTGTATTTTATATAATAAAAGATTTTTTGGCTAATATCTGTGCCAGCTATCTTTTTACACACTATTTTATTTATTTTTCCTGGCATTTATTTGATTTTACTACGTGCTTACAAGCTCATCCGAGGTGGGGATTATACCACCAACGCTGTCACCAGAGTGCAATTGGCCTGCACTACACTTGTAAGTACATTTTTATTTATTTAAACAACTTTTATAACGTGTTAAACAGAGAGCACTATTCGTTATTTTTATATATCCCTTTTCCTGAGAGTTGAACATCATTCCCTCCGGAGGACAATCATCCATATATCCCATAAGCGGAGATTGTTCCGCTGTACGTCTGTTATACCTGAGCTGGCTATAGCTCATCTAAATGTGAGTGGAATATTTATATCCTTATCTCACATATTGAACCTTACACTCTATACGATTGGTCTTTTTTTCTTGTGTCTTCCATATCACGAGAACAGCAGGACTATTATAAACAGAGAAGAGACCCCATCATCTAAAGCACCTTAAAAGACATGTATTGCCACAGTGCAACTTCTATAATCCTTTTGGACTATTTTATAACTCTTGTAAGTTTTATTTATATGTCCTTTTACTATTTGTCTTTTTACTACTTTTAGTCCTCATTGATACATTTTGGTGCAGCCTTGCATTACTATTGTTGTTGTTTCTCATTCTTACCATAGAGGGTCAGAGGGTTACCCTCTGCTAGGCCGCTGCCTATCCACCTTGTTATTATTAGCGCTAACCTCCTTCCTTGTTTTTTCACTGCAGATACAGAACTATTTTGAATAAATATTGTGAATGCAAATAATGAAGAAAAGGTGGAACAAAAACAAAGTAGATTGATAAGAGAGTTCCTCATAGCAAAACATGCTGCACAATATCATACCTCCCAAAATATCCCTATAAAGGGCCCAAATTCCTCTGTCTCAATGTTCTATCCTATTGTTTAGGTCAGGGGTCAGCAACGTATGGCACATGTGCCATGCATAGCCATCGAAGTACCTCTGCACGGCACTCAAGGCTCAAGTCCCCAGTGGGACTACAGATATCTGCTAGTTCAAACTGAGCGGTGATTGCTGGAGGCGAGAGACTAATTTTATGCATTGCAGAACTTGTGAATGGGGTATCTGCACTAGAGTAGAGCAGCCTGCAGCAGCTGTCGCAGCTCTTGCCCTTGACCTATACTTGGCCAGCCCGTTACCCACTGGACCCCAGGAAAGCCACCCACACTCAGATATACACAGAGCTGCAGAATGAGCCTCACAAATAATGCAAATAGCCGGCACATACAGTCTACACAAACTGGGCCGGACTGGGAAGAAATTTTGGCCCGGGCATTTTTTAATTACATAGGCCCACTAAAAAGGGGGCGGGGCCAGATAGGGTGTGTTTTGTCATGACAAACACGCCCTATCAAAAAGTGAGCATGTTGGTTCAATGCTCTTCCAAGGCATACCATGCGCAGAGCTCTGCTGAAGAGCTCTAGCATGAGAAAAAGACCTTGTATTTGTTCTGCACAGTGCAAGCTAATTTAATAACATGCTTGCACTGTGTTTGCTTGAAATTTGTCTCTGGTGTCTCCATAGATGGGATACCAGGAGACAAAAATGCCAGGAAAGAGTATTGTGCAATGTGTGTGTGAGTGTGAGGGGTGTAGTGTGTGCTGTGTGTGAGTCATGGGTGCTGTGTTTGCGTGAGGGTGCTATGTGGATAAGGGTGGTGTGTGTATGTGCTGTGCTTGCGTGAGGGTGCTATGTGGGTAAGGGTGCTGTGTTTACGTGATGGGTGCTGTGTTTACGTGATGGGTGCTATGTGCGTTTGAGGAAACGGTGTGTGAGGGTGCTGTGAGTGTCAGGGGTGCAGTGTGTGTGTGCGCATAAGGGTGCTGTGAGTGTCAGGGGTGCTGTGCGTGTTAGGGTGATGTGTGTGTTAGGGTTGTAGTGTGTGTGCAAGAGAAGTGTAGTGTGTGTGTGAGGGTGCTGTGTCTGAGTGCTATGTCTGAGTGCTGGGTGCTGTGTTTGAGTGCGGGTGCTATGTGCATGTGAGGGTGTAGTGTGTGTGTGAGAGTGAGGGTGCTGTTAGTGTCAGGGAAGCAGTGTGTGTGCGTGTGTGTGAGTGAGGGTGCTGTGAGTGCCAGGGGAGCAGTGAGGGTGCTGTGAGTGCCAGGGGTGCGTGTGTGTGAGTGAGGGTGCTGTGAGTGTCAATTTTTCTAAATGACTGGACCTCTTAATCACATTCATTCAATCACAAACATTTAATCGCATTGTTACTGTTGCCCTATACCACTCTGGACATTGAGTGAATCACTTAAAGCTGCCATGCAGTTTGCTGGAACTAGCACTTAAATTCCAGTTTATGAAGAGGATGTATTGGATGGGCAATAACTTTCCAAGTATTGGTAGCAGGTATGCTGGTACTGTGCTTTGTGAGTAGTTTTCTAAATAAATATACTTGTTCGCTAGCCATCATGCATAAATACTGAAATCAGCAACTAAAGCTTTATATCAATGTCCCTCAAAAAAATGCCATGGATTTAATTTTAAAAATGTATATTACTTTAGTTGGGAAATCTCTATATGGCTACAAACTATTGTACTTACAATATAAAATGTGGAAGTAATGAGGAAAATGTGGTGCAAGTTGTAACATTGGTGTGTGTGTGTGACAGTGAGGTTGCTTTGAGTGATTATATTCCCCTCTCCCTTCTTATCTTTTGCCTGGGAGGGGGGATACTGCTGCTGGCATCCATCCCTGGTGGTCCAGTGGTAAGTGAACTCTAGCCTGTGGCATTGCCATGCCAACGGTCCGGATCTCGCGAGAGAAACCCGGCTGAGCTGTAATTTAGAGATCCTATGGGTTCCTCTGCTGGCAGGCTGTCTCCCTCCCTCTGTCCCTGCCGGCGGCCGGAATATACTACACGTGGGCCGGTGAGGGAGATCTTTGAGATCTCCCCACCGGCCCGCCATGGAACACAGCGGGGCCGGCGCTCGGATAGTGCCGGCCCTGCAAAGACAGGCAGGGGAGATCCTGTAACCTCCCCTGCCAGCATTTGCCCGGTGTGCCCGATGGCCAGTCCGGGCCTGTACACAAACACAACACCACTGACAATCCACATACATAATCCCACAAGCAGCCCCACACATACACAATACCTCAAACTACTCATGAACATATACAATATAACAGCTTCATATGCACGAATACAACACTACAAAGCAACTGCAGCACCAATAAATAACACAAGCACAATACGGCAAAATACACACCTCAATTGTAAAAAAATATGACCGGCACTCCAAGGGACTTTAAGGTTTTGTTTTGGCACAGTATCACTAAAAGGTTGCC